TTTTTTTTTTTTTTTTTTTTAAGTTTTGAGGATAAAAAAAAAATTAGAGAAAAAAAACAGTTTAAATACAATTTATTAATTGAACTCAAGATTAAGCTATTTTTGAAGATTTAATAAATGCTCCTTTATATATAAATTATTAATTGCGTAGGGGTTGTCATAAATTCATCCAAATTCAAGTACTTAGATAAAAATACATTACTTATTAATTATATAATTTTAATTACGTAAGAATTTATTTTTTTTAGAAATTAAACCAAGAAAATCTCTCATAATCTTTCAATTTCAAACACCAGATTGACCATTAAATACTCTTAAATTTTAGATACGTCTCATTAATACCTTTGAACCTTTTTTTAAAAACTTCGAAAATACCCTTAACCGGAATTTGCTTGTTCCAACATGACACCCAGCTCTCTAACACCTTCGAATTGTCAAATCGTTCTTTGTATTTCAATGCTGCTTCCATCGACGAATGTACTGCCATGACGACGTAGATATCCTGAACCTAGTCGAGTGCCCTTGAGTTCGAAGCTAGGACGATGGTGATCAAGTCATCAGTGACAATGAATGATGGTGCAGCTGAATTGGGTGAAGCTCCATGGCCTGCCTAAGACTCCGGCGACTGAGAAAACTACCGATTAACATGGATATGTTAAGCTAACCCACCCTCCACAGAAGAATAGCCCTTCCGCCAAGTGAACTTAAACTCCCACTTTCAATGATAAACTAAGCTTTCAAAACATCATTCCATCAATTTTCCAGTTCAGTTTCGTTTCACATTGATACAGATCCGACTAACCCGAGTCCTTCCGATTAAGTGAAGCGAAAATGCACCCTTTTCTTAGCCCTCCAACATGATGTGAAAAAGATTAGCACGACCTCGAAGAGCCATGGTCGGTCGACTCCAGCTGATTCCGAAGATTTTGATTGTCCTCCAATAACCGATCATACTCGAGGAGGTACTCCTCAGATTGCTTTCTCAGGGCATCTGTTTCAGTTTCTGCATCATTTGCTTCTTTTGTTTTTGCCTCAACTTCAGATTCCAGTTTGGATATTGTGTTCCTCAACGTAGTTGACTCTTCTCCCAGGGCTTTAAGCTTCTCTGCACTTGCATCCTCTGTTGCTCGAATTCGCTTCTTTGCGACCTCCATTGTCTTCCGGAGTAGACGAAGCTCCCGGATGTAATGATGTAGTCTATCAATCATCAGTGCAAGAAACAGCAAGAACCCTGCAGGCCATAAATGTTATTTTCAAATCTAATATGAGCTACTCAAACAGAAGGATGGGAAGTAACTGCAAAAATGTAAGCAAATGGCTACAAAACAAGATTTATATGTCGAAATTCGGAACGACTGTATGATCTAGATTATCAAACAACAAAAATCAGATAAGAACAGAAAAATTAGGCTTCAAAATTCAAAGGCCATCAAATTTTTTGCCAGCTCCAGGGCCTATACTCTAGATTCATACAGGTTTTCCTTATTAACTTACCTCTAAGTATTCTGAGCAATATTGTCTTCAAATGCTCCATTAACACCGAAATGCTTCTGAATAAATTTCCCTTCGAAATGATATTCCAGCGCATTTGCAAACACCCCCTTGTAATATATGATGTACAAGGAAGCCTCACATGAAGTGAACAACAGCTCAATATAAGGATAACGAGTAATGTCACATCAAAATCATTGAATCGAACAAGATCAGGGAGCAAAATCGAAATAAAGAAGTCCAATTCTCTCCGTTCTAACTAGCTCAGGGACCAAAATTGTTCATCTCCAGATACTCGTAAAGCCAATAATTCCAAAACCAAAACCTAAGCATGAACAACATATTCACCGTAAAATTGACAGAAGAAGTACAAATTCCATCGGTAATAACTCTATCCAGAAAGCGAAGATCAAAGAAAAAACAAACTCGAAAGGGATTAATTACCTATGAGAGAAGCTTCGAGTAAGTGATTGGACATAAGGACCTGATCCGTAGGATTAACCTCGCCGGTCTCAGTCATCCGATTCTGGATCTTAACCATGCTATAGACGCTAGAAAGAAGGAGAACGAAGACAGTTCCGGCGACTGTTTGAACAACGATTGGGGCTTTACCGCGCTTAACACGATCTAAACTCAAAATCACAAGCTTCCTCAGAGGCGTCCTGAAGAGGAGAGTCAAAATCAGAGCCATTTCGGCTGCGATTAAGGTGAATAGAAGGTGAATCATGTTCGATGCGAGTCAGTCTGCAAGCGGGCGTTGTAGCTTCGGGGAACCTTTATGGTGGTTTTCGGTGGAACCTTTAATGGAGTGTTCGTCAAAAGGTACCCTACACCTGTAAAAAAATCGAATTTCGCTTCTCTTACCACTTACAACGTTTCGCTTGCAGGGACGGCCCCCGTAACGGGCGGGGAAGGAGAGAGAAAAAAAAAAATCACCGCAGTTAAACGGAGACGGTAAATTCATTTTTTCTTTTCTTTTCTTTTCTAAATTAATAAAAATACCACAAAATAAACTTTCTATTTTTATTTTGAATTTATAACTTTTTTTTTTCTTTTTTTAATTTCAATAATATCTCTAAATTTTAAAAAAATACTCCACTCTATATGAAACAGATTATAACCTACCGTGATGGAGTGTGAGTCAAACATACTTAATTGTTTACTAATAAAGATATTTTAAAAAAATTTTGAAATCTAAAAAATTTGTCGATGTTTGTGTCTAGCAAGGCAAGCATTGGATCTCAACATAATTATTTTCGGTAAAAAATGTCTCATACACAACATTAAAATATTTTAAGAATAAAAAGATTATGGTCTTTTAATCGGTATTATCCTTAGTGCTAGAGTTATGTTTTAAAGATATTTTATTTGGTAAAAAAAGAAGACATAAATCGAATAAATATCATATTATCCATAAAGTAAATCTCGATCGTATTATCCATAAAGTAAATCTCGAATTCGGAGGAAATAGGGTTCCAAAAGGATCTTTTCTTTCTTTCCAAAGTCATTCATTATGTAGTCGTTTGAGGAATACCACTCTTGCGAATACGAAAAAAGGAAAAAAAATCAATACATAACACTCACTTAAAAACACTTGTCATTGCTCCGCTTTTCTATGCTACACATTAAAAAAAAAAAAAAAACCCAATATTCATAAAACATTTAAATTTTACCAAGCATGATCTACAAATCAATTTATAATGTGGGCTTTGTTATTTGGAACATAACTACATACCAATAGGATTGAAATTTCATAAATACAAATTTACTAAAACTGAGTCAAATGTAGTAGGAAGAAAAATACACTGTATTGTTACTATTAGTATCAACATTATTATATTGGACCGAGCCTATGGTCACACCACATGCTAGTTGATTGGAAGTTACCTTTTTGACCTCCAATGGAAGATATGAGTTTTGAAACAAACTACTCTATTAGGCCAATGATCTGAACTTGAAGAACATTGATTCTCCAAATGCATACTCTAACGAGCAACGTCAACGGGATAGCAACCAAGTACCCGTAAAAATGTCGCATGTTCCTATGTAATGTTAGAACACAACATTAAAAGAGAAGCCTCCGATGGAAAAAATGATTTGTGTTAAGTTTCATTATACCCAAAAGCCTATGATATTCTTAACACACTCTTTCATGTGTACTCACAAAACTAATTTGATTCACAAAGCCTACTAAATGAATTGATCATAACGTTTAACAACAAACCTGCAAATGCCCCAAGACAAGCTGAGCACGTGGTTCGGCCATAGAAGCTTCAAAATCAATGTAGAACAAGTAGTCAAAGTACCTGAAAACGTTAAAAATTGAAGGGATTCATCAATCCATACAGACATTTGAGACACATTGTGCTGCAATAACTATTAGTGAAGACCTTTCAAGGTCTGCTAAAGGTATACTGCAAAACGACAATGATAATGATACATACTTGGCACTACCCATGTTAGAGTCATCCACTACTCGTAAGGGGCAATTTCTTTGCGGTCGACTTTCAATCTAGTCATGCGTGCAGAATTCTTATCAGTTTAGAGATAAATGATACAAAACAAAGCTTTTAGAGAAAATTAAATTTCATTAACAGGTTGATGTAGCTATATACCTTTGTCAAATTTATATCTCTTAGTGCAAACAACGCCAAGACTTTGAACAAGACTCCAGGTCCTTCATCCAAAGTAAATACAATGCTTGTCTGCAACGAATAGAAGATTTGACTTCCAAGATTAATAAAGCTACGAGTTCAACAGATATGAGGCATTGTGATCAGCACGTATGAGATTGTGGCTTACTCTATAGGGTCTATCAGTTCTTGGAATGATTGGTTCCCTTGCAAGTACCAGATAACGAGTCACGTTACCTAAATCATCCTTAAGCACATAATTTTATTTAAGACAAGCGATGGCCAAGTATATTAATCATATGTTAAGATGAGATGAGAACAAAAGAAAACTAGAAAGAGGCAAAATATTTACTTGGATTCCTTCTGCAAGTATGTTTAAACCATATAACTCTGCAGCACGAGCACCGGCCACAACTCCAGCATCCCTGAGGTTGTTCAACGCTACATACTAGATACAAAATCAAGATGGAAAGCCTGTTTTAGAAAATAAACCAAGTAGAAGAAAGTTTGTAATTGGAATTTAAACTAACATATATGAACCTGAGCTGCACCAGCAGTATCATCAACATTTTCTCGGACAACACCCAACCTATTCAGCGCATTTTCGCTCAAAGAAAGTGCCTGGCCAAACCAACACTCAAATATCATTGATTTTTCTAATGACAACACGTCGGTACTTTTTACTTCCAGAAACTCACTTCATTTTCATAATAATACCCAAATTCAAGGATATGATGCAACGGAGCAAACAACAGGAATAACTTCTTTAGAGGACGGTGCAAGATTGAATGCTAGAGGCTCATGTGTCGTGAACATTCTATTACAATGACTACCATGTGAATTAAACACGTGAGACTGCAGTTATAAAGAAATAAGACAAGGATGGAATGAAAGTCTACACTTAAACCTGTGGATGGCTAAGAACACGTTTCAGCTGTTCTGCTCTCACACCTGGCAGAGCTAGAAGGCAGAGGTTGGTGGTTATCTGCACTTCACCAACAATATGTAGCCTGTGCCGAAGGAGCAAATCATAATTGCGATGGATGCTCCCACCTGATGAATTTTCAATCGGAAGAACAGCTTTATCAGCTATCCACAATTCAACAGCCTGCCGAGAAAAAAAAATTATGACAAAGTATTAGTGGAGGACTTGAATTAAGTGAATTGAAGGCAAGTAAAATCAAGACCAGTAATGTGGTCTACAATTTTCAATAATCACATATGATCTTTAAAAAACAAAACATCACAGTGAAATAGGTTAACCCACTAAGGAAAGCAGTTCTACATGTTATTTTATTTTAGCAGATAGACTAATAAACCTTGAATGCATCTTCAAACTCATTACAAGGAACACTTTCACAATTAGGGTATGCTGTAAGTGCTGCATCCTCACTATGTGACCCTGGCAACCCCTGCATTGTTAACTCAACAAATGAGAAAGAGTAGATAAAAATTACAAAATAGATTGATGGGTTACTAAAAGATAAAACTGATTGGAAACTGAAAAAATATTGGATAAACAAAGGTCGAAACTCAGTAAAAAAAGAGCAAAGGGCATAGATTCAATAATATAACTCATACCTTAAATGATATCCGAACCTTCTTATTATCATCTGGATAAGCAGATTTACTTGACACTGATAATGGTCCTGCAACCATTTATATAAAGTGAAAAAAAATGCATTAACAGATGAAGGAAATGTTGGCAACAGTTTAGCCAGTTTAAACTTACGTCTATTGACCAAAACATGACAGGTTAAAATGAAAAGACAGATGATAAGGAAGCAGAAATCGACTAGCTTGAAGAAACTGAGTGGTTGCATTAACTTGCTGTTACTCAAAGTGTGTGCTTAAGTTTATTTGATCCTGAAGAATTGTTTTACAAAAATACATTTCAGTTACCATCTGATTCTGTTAATTCTAATCACCATGTCCGTTGCTCGAGTAATTTATTCATGCCAATGGTCGCATTCTCACATCGGTCCAAAAATTTTTCCCAAACACGTTTGAATCCTCTTTGATTTGGATTCGGGCGAGATTTTACCCAATAATTTCAACCATTGATCTTCATGTAAACTCGCATCCTAATAACCATAGTAATTCTACATCTTTATCTGAACTCTTTGAAATTTCACTAAAAAGAAACGGTCTTCTGAAAATGTTATTACAGATTCGGAAGTATCTCCTATTGTGCATATTGATACAATCATAGATAACTTCCATATCACGAATCGATGCAGAGAAACGATTTATACAACATCAAACAACCACGTTTATTGATTCAAAACCAAAAGCATTCCACACATTGAACAATCTGAATCGCAAAACTTACTAGCAAAGGGCGCGATATCCTTATTCGATCTCCAAACGCTATTGCCGTCCGGCTGCTCAACAGACGGCTGTAACTCCGTGGTTCGATTCGGCGGCTTCTCCGCCTCAATGGAGCAAGTCATCGGAGAAGCCGGCAATCCTAAAACTCCACCTCTAGATTCAAGCTTCAGCGCCACCGCAGGCGGCGGCGTCTTCGGTATCAAACTCCACAAAGACGAGGCATCCCCCAACGCCATACCGCTCGCAAAATTCATCATCAAATTTCGAGTACCGATTTGGAATCGGTTAGGAAATTTCTTGAAGAAGAAGAAGAAGAAGACCAAATATGTAAAATATCCAGGAAGAAATTAGTAGGTGAAGCAAACTTGATCTCAGCAACACGTTTCCTCTGTAGAATTGACTTCAATTTCCTTTGCTCTCTTCTTCATTTTTCCTCACCGGCTTGGCGAAGTTGGGAGAGTTTGTTTGAAGTTTGAAAAAGCTTTTTATATACGTGGTGGCAATGAAACTGCATTCATGTAGGAACCGTGGTTTAAAACAGAGGAAATGGAGGTATGCGTCCGCAGCCGTTGATTATGATGACTTTTACGCCTCAGAGGCGTTGACTATTCTCCATCGCTGTCCTATCATGATTTGTTGACATATATATATATATATATATATATGTAACAAATAAAAAACAAATTTTGTTTAGTGGACGGATTGTATCAATCCAAATCGACCGGGTTGGTAAGGAATTTATTATTATTATTATTTTATTTTATTTTATTTTATTTTATTTTAAAATATATTTTTTTTTTAAAAGTAATCATTTCAATTCAATGTAAAATATTTGAATAATACTAAATTTTGATTTAAATCCTATTTTTGTTAATTAACTGAATATTCTACTTTGATGGGAAATTATTTTAATTTTTATAATAAAAAAAATATTGATTAACTTTTACAGGAATCTATTAATTTAAAAAATAAATTATGTATTATAGATTTATTACATAAAAAATTATAAATTCAATGTATATTCATACTTTTAATATTTAGAAATTTATTAAATTCAAATTTAACATTTTAGGAATTTTTCTAACACTTTTAGAATGCAAACAACTGTTAAAAACTTATTGGCTAATTTAAAAATTAGATAATTGATAAAAAAAAATACGTGTTTAATAAATGTTTTTGTTTTAAATCTAAAATAGAATTTAAGCATAAAAACATATATTCATCTATGCAAACATAACTTAGTGCAAGATAAGATAAACCTAATTTTCTAAACTAAACTATAATATTTAATATTTAATATTTAAATGTTAAATTACATAAATAGATAAATAACACGTTAGACTAAGTCATAATTTATTATAGAGAATAAAAAAAAATAAGGATATTAATCTAATTGGTGGATCCAACCCAAGCAATGACACTGTATGACATCAATCTAAAGTCAAAATGCTTTAGAATTCATAATTATTTTAATTTAGACTTTACCTCTATTAATTATGATATTTAGCCCCTAATTTTTTGTGGTCTATCTAAAAACATAATAAGGTTCGTGACATTTCATTTAAATGTTATTATTATTATTATTTGAAAGTTCGGGTTTGACTGTCATTTTACCTCATTCAAAATATTTGACATTTTTTTTTTAAATTACCACTCTTGAAATTTAAAGATTTATTAGACACAAAATTCGACTAGTATGTTAGGAGGAAACAACAAATTTTGAGACGTTGCATTGAGAGACCTTGACCCGAGCAGAGCCAAGGTCGAGCCGAATGACTTGGCCTAACGTAGAGGCAAGTCGGATGTGTCGCAGACGATTGAACATGCACGCACAGGCGGCGTGTGTGGTTGAACAAGCTTAGATTCCGCACCAGCGATGTTCGATGGGCAAAGACAAACCTCGCCTAAGGTCCGACGAAGCCACAAAGCCGAGGCGAAAAATATATATGGGGCTTAATTCTCCTTAAGGCTAGTCGTGCGCGTGTCAAGATCACAACGTCGCAAGGTAAAAAATGCAGGATCGTGACACAAATTTTGTAATAGCTCAAACCTACGGCTAGTAGATATTGTTAGTTTTGGTCATTACGTATCGCCATAAGCCTCACGGTGTTAAAACACGCCTACTAGGGAGAGGTTTTCACTCTTATAAGAAATATTTAGTTCCCCTCTCAAACCGATGTGGGATCTCATCATCCACCCCCATGGAGGCCTTGTCTAATGTCTAGTTCTGATATCATTTGTAACAACCCAAACCCACCGCTAATAGATATTTTGTCTATTTTGGCCCGTTACATATCGCCATCAGCCTTACAGTTTTAAAACATGTCTACTAGGGAGAGGGAGAGGTTTACATACCCTTACAAGGAACGGTTCATTCCCCTCTCAAACCGATGTGAAGTCTCAGCTATATCTTCAGCTGAAGAACGCTCGATGCACAGACATCGGTTGTTTCTACCAGCAGGCTGCAACAGAAAGACAAGGATTCAAGCAACATGAAGTATACACATAAACAAGCTGTTCTCTGTATATTTAACCTGTTGATTTGAAGGGAGTACAAAGCTGATAAGAATAAGGGTTATAAATCATCTCTTTCTTTCTATCTCAGCTGAAACCAACAATATGAAAGCATTAAGAGCTCTAAACTACAACACTAACACTAAATCATCAACACAAGCATTTACAGTTTCAACAGAGATTGCTCTGAATCCATTCCTTGAGCATTGTCTTATCATAACAAGTCCTTTATAAACTCAAGGTTTAACGTGTCTTTGATGATGAGGAACAGCCCGAGAAGTACGACGAGCATGATCCCAGACGACATGATTTGCTGCTCGAGTTCTAACGGCAGCTTTCTCCCTCCCCTTGCAGCTTCAATGAGGATCAAAGCCAACGAACCGCCATCCAAAGCTGGCAAGGGAAGAAGGTTTATAACAGCAAGATTAATGTTAAGAACAGCTGCAAATTGATAGAGCCCATCAATGTTGGACCTAGCCACTTCTGCACCAACAGCAATAATGGCCACAGGACCAGAAACCTTACTAGCTGACTGAGAGAAGTTCAGAAATGTCTGTTTCAAGCTATCCAAAACCTTAAATGACAGACCCAAAAACTCCCTTTTAGAATAACTAAAAGCCTCCAAAAAATTCTTGGCTACAACCTTTGAAATCTTTACATTAGGTGAAAGCTGAACCCCAATTCTTCCTGTTCCATCAAAACTCTTATCTGGGGTGACCCCAATTTCAAGATACTGTTTCCCTCTTTCAACTTTGAGAAGAACAGTTCTATTGGGGCTTCTTTTAATTGCTTCAACGAGCTCAGACACAGCTTTAGAAGCCAATTTTGGCAGTTCATTTGCATTAACAGCAAGAATCACATCCCCAGGAAGCAGCCCATCTCGGGAAGCAGCTGAAAGGGTTAGAACCTCAGGCACTAGAACACCAGGAAATGGCTCTTGAACAGGCAAACCAACCGATGATACTTGAATTAAGATAATTAGATATGCAAAGATTATATTGGCAACAACACCAGCAGAAATCACTATCACTCTATCCAATATCGGTCTGTTTTTAAGCAAATTTTCGTCGTCTGCTGGAATATCACTCTCAGGATCATTATCAGGAAAACCCACAAATCCACCGAGAGGAAATGCCCTAATGGAGTATTCTACATTGTTTTTGTTGAATTTTGCGAGAATTGGACCAAACCCTATTGCAAATTTACTTACATGGATGCCCTGAAGACAAGCGGCGAGGAAGTGACCACTCTCGTGAACAACAATGATGGCTGTCAACACCGCCGTCGCCTCCAGTACCGACGGAGCACTTCCAATATCGAATCCGGCAAAAGCCCATGGTCTGAAATCGCAACTCCTCCGACATGGGATTCTGCTCTTTTCCCAGAAGATTTGGTGTCTGTTCTTGAAACTAAGATCCGACGAATTGAAAGAATGAGATAAGAAAGAAGAAGAAGAAGAAGGGGATTTGGAGAAATGGGTTCTTGACTTGGAATTGGGTAGATTGATAACAGAACAAGAAGAGGAAGACAGATTTAATAGCATGATTTTGAAAGTTCCTTTAGGGCTGTGAGGATTGACAGAGATTTAGCGAGAAAATAGACGAAGATGAAAGAATTGGAGAAGACATAGGCTTTGGATAACACCTTTTTCAAATTTGTGGAGGGGAAGCGAGAGAAGTGTTTCCTCTTTTCCCCCTCGCATTTGTGTGCGTGTGTGTGTGTTTTGAGGCGCGCATTTGAGGCCTCCGTCTAATGATGAACGTGCGATCCTAACATAAAGGAACATATTTCATAATTATTCTTTCTACTTATTTGAATTAGTGTTGAAATTATTAAATAAGAAAATCTAGCTCCGTGCAACCATTCCTCGGCTCGATTGCATCTCCTTCCTCGAGATTTCCATTTGCGTCACTCGATATCTTTCTAGCTTCTGTTTGTCTTGGTTGCACCATTGATTTTCACTAACGTCCGGTCGTCATCATGCTACTTAACTGACACTGATAAGCTGTTCTTTCTCTGATTTCATATCTCCCTGTAATTTGTTTTCCCTCCATCTGTAAACAGTAGTAGCACGGTTGTCACATTCTCGTTTCACTAACTTTATCATTAGGTCCTATGCATAACCACCTTTATTGTCCCTCACAATCGTAAATCGTCGTGAAGGGAATAGTAGACTAGCCATCGGAGACATGGACCAAGCGAGAATGAAACGATCTCGTTTGCGAACAGGTTTAGTAGTTTGAGTCGTGATTAGTTCAATTCAGTTTGATTTTTTTACTGGTTCGATTGTTTACTCGGTCCATCTCTTTTCACCAGTTTCAGTCTGATGATTTTCTTATTAGACGTTCTTAGTGAATATTAGGTATGTATGTATTGTTTGTTCTTCGATTGCTGCGGTGGCTATGTCCGATTTGAAATATTATGAAACCTTTTGCATGCATTGAAAGATAGAAGTTACATGAAATAAACTTTTGTAGAACCACTTATACGGATTGCTTGACTATTATTTTTGAAAACTGATCACAAGCTTACAGGCTAGATGATCAAAGTCTCTATGGAGTTGGTCCCTATCAAGAGAGTGCTTACCGAGTATTAATATTAATTATTTCAATATCTAATATTGAATTATAATTTTTTTTATTAATATAATGAAGATCTAATAAAAAAATACGGTAGAATATTAAAATTATGAGTAAGAATTTATAAGAATATATATTTATAATTATATACAAAAAAAAATGTTGTTTATTAATTAAACTATAAACTCATATTACAAGGGAATTGAAAAATAAACTAAATTTGAAGAATTGCATAATTTAGAAAATTATAATAATTAAGAAAACGATAAAACAAACCAAAAAAAAAATCAATATTATGTCGCACTAATATATATACTCAAAATATCTAGACAATAAAATAAATAAATAAGGAAAAAAAAAGAGAGAGAGAGGTTAGAATTAGGTTGAATTAGGAGAATTTCATAAACTTTT